CATTCTTTGTTGATCCACGACTTTACTTCTGAAAGGAGGGTCTGTGTGGGGATTTACCCATTCACTTGGTTTTATGGCTTGGATGGGTGGATGGATGGGGGGGGGATACGAAGTTGAGTGCGAACGAGGGCCCGGGTTTGTGGATCGGGTTTCCCTTGGAGAGAGAGAGTGCAATGTGTGTGTGTGAAAAGTGAAGTGAAGTGGAGGGGTTGCCGAATCGGTGGGAACCTTTTCCTTCCTTCCTTCCTTCCCTCCTTCATTCCCCCCTGGTGGAGTCCCCTCCCTCTCCCGTTGGGGGTTGATGAAGTGGGTATATCACAGGTAACTCTCAGCCAAAGTGCCAGGTGCGCATTCTGATAACTGCGCGATTTTTTTCCTAGTAAATGTGGTCGATTATTAGTATTATTAAATTTTTATTTATGAATAGTCAACGAACGAACGAACTCATACCGTAACTCTCCTATGACACCGTTATAACCGGTTATCATATGTAACCATAAGGGGATAGCTTTCAGCTATCATATTTCTATTTTATTTTTTCTTGGAAAAGGATGGAGAGAGCAGATCTGGGGACAATTCCCTCTGTTTGTAGCTTTGCTTGCTTGTTTTCCTCAATTCAGGGGGGGGAAACTTGGTTATGGTTATCGTTGGATTGTGAGTTTCTTCTGAGAGATAGAAAAACGTAAAAACTATTGTACGAGTACAATATATAATTGATAGTTATTCCTGGTTTGCTGATGTGCCATCAACAGAACCATCGGGACCTTCCAACGGACCGGAAAACTGGGTTCGGTCGCAGTTATTGTGGATGAAGAAGAAACAGCCCTTTCCACTGGTATTCCTGGAGACGGGAAAGGAAGGAACCCAGCTCACTTTTCTTTCTTTCCTTCTTCTGTCTTCGACTTCTGCATACACACACATCTTTTCTGCAGCCAAAGCATCCCCAGCATCTCGCATCGCATGTGTGTTGTGCCGTCACCATTAAGGGCGATGGAGTTTGCTCGAGTACATACAGTACCCATACCGGTTGTCATAACTTGTTGTCTCGCCTTCCTCCCTCTTGGACACGTCTCTTGTCTCGCTCGACTTGCGCGTGATACTTGTACTGGTACATGCTGTACAGGTATGATACGAGTATGATACTCGGGTTATCATATCATACTTTGCAGTGGGTCAACCCTGTTTTCCTGCAGGTCACATCACGCCTTCTCACTCGAGAGAAATTGTGACAAACACGTCTACCGACATGAATAATTGGATTCCACTTTTTTCTCTACCCCTCCAAGTTGCCCCCTTTTTTCTTTCTTTCCTCCCTTTTTCCTTTTTTTTTTTTAAATTTTCTTTTTCACGTTATCCACAAACCCTTCCCACACCCCCCCGCTCAATTACTGGTAATCCCCACTTTTTTTTTTTTTTTTTCACCCTTCCAGTTCTAGCTTCCTTCCTGCAAAAGTGACGGTAAAATCTTGAAACGGAAATAGCTCCCATCTCCACCTCCCAACCTGTTGGGATTTTTCTTTTCTTTTTTGGTTGAGGGTGGACCCCCTCGTAACCATTCGTAACTCATCCCGGTCTCTTTCTACCGCTATCGTACTTGTATAATACCTTACCCTTGCCTTCCTTTGGTACCGTATGATAGTTACCAATGCCTCGGAGAGGTATTTGTTTCTCCCCAGGGAGGGGGGGAAGAAGGTTTTTTATTTTTATTTTTTTTGCTACCCGCGCTGAGCTCGAGGGGCAAGTTTATTATTCTGCTGGGGTAGAGGGTAATTAATTGAGGATAATACTCCTCCTCGTACTGTAAAGCATCATCGTTGAGAATGGGCGCGGGCGCGGCATGCGGAAGCGGGGGTCGGCATTTGACAAAGAGGAAAAGGGTTAAGTAACAGTGCAGTTTTGTGGGACCGAACATTCGGAGTCGTGATCTGATGGGGCTGTCGAGAGTTAAAAGGGGAGGAGAAGAAAAAAAAAAAAAAGGTTCACACCTCATGAGCTGTTTTGAACTGGTGGTATTGATGTGGGAGTAGGATAAGAGGTGTGTCCTATCATCCATATCCCTCCACCCATGATAGAGATGTCAATGCGAACGATGAGGGAAGTTGGGAGAGGAGGGAATATCATAGATTGATCCCTGCAAGGTGCACGGCCTTCTCCCACATCATTGGGGAACTGAACCAGAGCGTCGGGTGGCAACTGTTCGGGAATGGCAAAGGCTAATCCACTTTTTTTTTATCTTCTTGCGTTCCTATCCATTCCTTCGTCATAAATGAAACGTGTTTCGTGATGAAGGGAAAAAATAAAATAAATAAAATAAAATAAGAAGCAAAAATAAATAAAGAAAAAAAAAAAAAAAAAAAGAGAGAGAGAGTGTGTGTGTGCCAAGTCTCATATGGCGAACTACCCTGCCCGTGCACAAATGGAAGAAGGAACGTAAAATTGAAATTCCTCTGCCTGTCACTCGTAGACCACCCTCATATAAAGTGGTTACCGCTCCCTCGGGAAAAGAGAAGAAAAAAAGTTCCAACCAGAAAAGGGGGTGTGTGGATCGAGTTGACCAGTCTGTCGGAATCCTCAGATTCCTTACTTTTATTCGTTGCTTTTATTGCCCCAACCCACCCACCTTCAAACCCCACGTTTAACTTATAGCTTGTCTGTTCGGTAGCAAAGAAGTATTCGCGTTTGAGATTGATTTAGCCAGCAGAGTAAATCACATTATCGGAGCCTTCAAACCCTTGGACAGGGCCGGAATATAGAGAGGGCAATTGGTCTGGAAAAGGATACAATCTCTCTCAAAGTCGCGCGCTCTCTGAGCCTTCCACGATGGCGGCTGAGGGCGTAACGGGCCAGGCTGTCAGGGACACGTCTGTCAGGCACGACTACAACCACGATGATGACTGTAAACGGGTACGTTTTGCACACCCTCTTCCCCTTTTCCTTCTTCACCTTGCTCCTCTTATTTATCTTTGTTTGCCCTTCTCTCTCTCTGTCTACCGTGCTTGCTTTGCTCTTCATAAGTGTCCCGCCTTTCCTTCTCCATCCATCATGTATTCAGAGGTCTGGAGACTCGATACCCCTGCATGAGCCATTAATTCGTCTAATTCTAACGAATCACAGTCCGAATACGAGCTCAGCGCTTTTGATGGCTCGGTTTTTGACTCTGATGCTGGCAGCATTGCTTCGTCAATGTCTTCTGCAGTGAGGTCGAATTCGTCCATTCTATCCAATGTTGGGAATTACAAGTTTGAGCACAACCGGCGTTACCACTCATATCGTGAAGGGAATTGGGTGCTGCCAAATGATCAGGTGTGCTCCCGTCTCACCCACTGGAACTAATTCGGCCAGAGCTGATAAGGATTTGGTGTTCAGCAAGAACAAGACAGAATGGATATCTTCCATCAGATGGCTCTCCTGAGGTGTGAGACCTTTATCCTTATTGGGCTGAATACTGTACTGACCGGTGAGCCAGAATGGATGATAAATTACATCTTGCACCGTTGGAGAACCCGAGGAGGATATTGGACATTGGAACTGGGACTGGTGAGCTAGATTTTTGCCATTCTCTGGAATGTTCAACTAACGAATCATAGGAATCTGGGCGATTGAGATGGCCTTGTAAGGATGTCTATCACAAGCTGCAGTTTGCGCTACTAACGAGAATGATTTTTCCACAGCAAATACCCAAATGCTCGGGTATGTTTGCCCCCAAGGTGGCGTTGATTTGGAACGAATTACTAACATGTAAAATAGATCATTGGAACAGATCTATCTCCGATACAAGTTTCACCACCAGCCAATTGCTCATTTGAGGTGGAGGACGCTGATTCGGAGTGGGTTTACCCAACAAATAACTTTGACATGATCCATACTCGCCAGTTGGTAAGTTTCTCTATTGTTATGTGGAGTAACAGTATTCATCCTTTGTTAGTTAGGAGGAATCTGTGATTGGCGAAGGTTCTTTGAACAGGCATATGCGTAAGATTATCTCCCAATGTCTAACCGGACCGATTCCTAACCTCCAACAGACATGCTCGACCGGGTGGGTGGCTGGAACTACAAGAAACACCACCAGAGATTCATACCGACGGCCCCGCGCCGCCTGCTGATCTTCCATTTTTGCGCATTTTCTCACTCTTTGCCGAAGCATCCGCCACTACCAGTCGTCCATTTGTCGACCAGGTATCTCAATTTGCTTCCCATATGGAAGCAGTGGGTTTTGTGGATGTGACGTCGGAATCTCGTCGCCTTCCGCTAGGCACTTGGTCAACTGATCCCACAGAAAAAGAAATTGGACGCTACAATGTGCTCAACTTTGTTGAAGGCATGGAAGCGTATACCCTTGCATTATTCACGCGGGTGCTAGGGATGACGGCTGAACAAGTTCGGTCATTAATAGATGAAGCAAAGAAGGACGTATGCAACCGAAAACGAAGGTGGTACTTTGATCTGTATGTCCCCTCCTATTCGTTTTTTCTTGGGGAGGATATTTGCTCATGATAGTGATAGGGTAATCGTGCGCGGAAGGAAGCCCTATACGGACGAGGTTGTTTCAACTTAGACCCATCTTTAATGGTTTGGTCTTTTTTTTTTTTTTTTTTTTTTTTGGGAGGGGGAAAGGTCTGGCGTATCGGAGTCATCACTGTTACCATACATTGTTCATATTTGTTCATATCATCGTGTCATTAGACTAAAGAAATAATGATTTATAGCTATTATCCCTTCAAATGTCTTGTCCCTTTAAGTCTTGGGAGTAGTCTCAGCCATCACTACAAGCGAATGCTGCGCAACATGGATTGAACATAGTAATTTCACAAGCGAATTCCTCTAGAATGAAAGAAGCCCTCGAACACCGGCAGCGGGACCAAACAAATGGCTACGGTTCCCTCACCTCCTAATGGTTGCGTGGTGCGGTGGGTGGGTGCTAGCCTGCAAGGAATCCTTGAAGGTCTCGGGGTTAAATGCTGGGATCGGACCGTTCGTTTGTGGATGGCGGACTTGGCAACGGTAGCTTGGCCGGTATTTCTGAGGCCTCATTTAATTGGCTGGCTGGCCGGGAATGGTTGGGTGGTTGGTGAGCTGGAGTTGATGCTAGCCTACATGTAGTTTGGGCCATAGTAGCGATCCAGTCGGCGAGCCTGCCGCGGTGGATGAATGGATGAAGCGGCATGCCGGTGTGCGTCCGGCGGGTTTGGTTGGTCGGTTGGTGGATTGGTTGATTGGTTGGTTGGGTGGACATGGAGTTGGAGTTGGGCTAGACCAACGGTTCGGGATTGTGTCCGGTGGGGTGATTCTGCACGGGTACCGTACTCGAGGATCATATACTTGTGCAGTACCGGTACTGCGCGCGTACCCCATCACCATACAATCGATGGTGGGGGAAGGGTAAAAGTTGTGAGGATGGATCTGGATTATTATGCTTTCTACCGTACCAGTCAACATATCCCTATGGTTTCCAGTATGATGCGGACGGCCACCCGCGATATAGTCTACTCGAGTATAGATTGATTTATTGATTGGTTGAGGAGGGGATAGGAGGGGAATAGAAGGATTAGGGATTAGTTATGATATTCTGAAACTATTTTCACCAGCTGGGATTTATACACACTCCCTCTTCACTTACCGGTACTGTATGATACTATATGATACTCGAGTAGTTCGTTCCCGAGTTTCAGGGACCCTTTTCACCCTAGTGCGTATTTAGTTCTCCGACATTTGAAAAAATATATCATACCCGTACTCGAGCACGGGTCAACTCAACGGTGAACTGTGGGTGACCTGGCCAATGGGATTTATGGGAGGAATTACAGTCGCACCTCGCTATCCCTTGGGCGGTGTGAAACAGTAAAATTCGGACCATGTCACGCTATACCTAGCACAGAAGACACTATTCCGGATAAAGAAAGGTCACAATGGTAGATGACAACGTCAGAGATCATAGATTTGTGCAAGGAAAAATCAAAGTTCAGCACCAGAAGCCTATACAATTTCAGAGATGTCAAATAAACTACGAGAACCTCTTTCTTCTCTCTCCCCTAATTTGTTTCGCGGTACCGATCCAAAGAACAAAATACACGAACAAGTGATAACTCACTCGTACCACCCGCTTGCTCCTCGAATTGACCATATCGCACAGCCTTTGCTACCTTGGAAGGGCACCGAGGCCAATGGCTTATGGGTATTCGAGCTGTTTTGGGATTCAGCAGTGGTGGATGTATTAGTTAATAGTACCAATTTGTATGCAGAGGAGAAAGGTGCAGGATGAGGGTGTTCAGAGCAGGCTAAAGGTAGAATGTGTTCACGCCGGTGTTGTCCATGGAGGAAAGTAACTGAAGCTGAAATTTGGGTGTTTTTGGCTCTCTTAATCTATATGGGAGCGTAGAGGGAGAGTGGAAGTAGGGGGTTTTGAGCCAAGAGCCAGAGAGGAGAAGGAAGAATAATGCATGTGATGAGCCAGGAACGCTTCAGTCAAATAAAGTGATACCTACATATATCAGACCCAAAGTTGCCACTGTCACGCGCAGAGTGGTTTCAGAAGCTTGAGCCACTAAATACGATGATTCAATCTCGATCTCAACGGTTCTATTTTCCTGCTTCCAATGTTACAATCAACGAAATGATGACAAGATTTGGAGGCCGCAGCCACCATACCTACCGCATGCCGAGCAAGCCAATCACTGAGGGCTATAAGGTGTTTGCCTTATGTGATATGGGGTATACCTATAACTGGATCTTTGCATCACGATCAGATTCATTTACGGGAGTGATTTTGGAAAAAGACCTTACCCGTACTGGTTCAACTGTGTTCCAGCTTGCCCACAGTCTGCCCTATAATTCTGGATCATATTTCAATATCTATATAGACAACTACTTCACCTTACAGCAACTGCTAGCAAAGCTCAGGGATCTAGGAATTGGAGCTTGTGGTACAGCAAGAGTTACTCAGTCAGCTTTTCCCCAAGAGCTTCATGACAAGCGGAAAAATATTCCATGGAATAAAGTCTCTGGTGGAGTTGCTGATTCCTCAGGCAAAGTCCTTGCGGTCCAATGGCAGGATAACTGTTAGGTGGAGACAACTTGATAGACTTCAAAGTTGTCTAGGCTAATCGAGATTCGTTTCTGTAGATGGAGATTGTCAAGGAAGGCTCAGACTTTGCTCGTTTCATTTATGACTACTAGGAGCGAAGTAGAATAGGTAAAGTAGAGTAGAATCGTAAAAACAATATTATATTGTTAAGGTCTCTTCTCCGTTGCTTGATGATGTCTAAAGCTTTGGGAGGCACTTCAATATTTATATTCCGCGTCTGAGTGTTCGCAGACTACATTTATTTATCATACAACTATGTACTTCTTCAATCGTATTTCATGACGTTGAGTTTTCTTCCAACCTGCGAACACCTGTGGACCCTGAAAACCATCACACCCTCTTCGGTAATTACAATATTTTTTCTTAGGAAGCGTGCTGTCCCCAATAGTAATATCCCGATTAGCAGAGTCTTTAGACTTATGGCCTAGTTCTTAAGTTGAACTGAGTTGGCTCCAATTGTCTTCGCCATTGATAAAATGATCAGTTTTATCCACGACTATATCTGCAGAGGTGGTCGTCATTACAACTATCGTAGGTCATCTGACTCTGATCCTTTGTAACTCCATACCCAATTGATAGATTTTCTTTGGATGACTTCCTATTAACTTGCAGGAAGCCACTCCACTAGGCTGGTAATTAATCCCTCGGTCGGCAACCCTTGGTTGCTTTCTGGGTAGTAGGTTTCAGTAACTATTATAGTATTGAGAATCACCCCATGGCTACGACATGTTCCGAAACCTAGTTGCAACACTCCGTGAAGTTCATTGGCTTCTTTGGTAGTGTCTTTTGGAGTTCTCGACTCTTCTGGTGTATGTAAATGTATTGGTCTCTAGTAGAGATCCTTTACCCTTTGATACCATCTCTTTGTGCGAAATCGTCCCGTTACTTACAGCCCACGCCAAAGATGTTATATCTTTGAAGCCAAGTAAGTCTCTGAGTAGTTGATGGAATCGCTCTGTTCTACTTCTCAGACCTAGCCGAAAGTCCCCTTTCATATATCCTGCGAACAGGATCCGGTTAGATGGACGGCGACGACGCATACAGTGTTATTCTAACACCTTCAATTCTGTAGTAATATAGTCACAGGATGCAACTGAGTTTAATATATATGATGACGCACGGGCCCCGTAAGGGAGCCGGAGGGGGGTGTTGGAGACCAGAGATTCCAATTCCAAGTGGGGTTACCCTACTTAGGGTGGTTCCTAGGTATTGGGTTCTGGTATTCCTAATAATAACAGTGCTGTTCATTTCTTAAGCACTATTCACACACTCCAAGACAAGATAATCTCAGAGCGGAAGAAACCTCGGCAGACTAGTAGTAATGGTCCTGCTATCCGCTGCGCTTTTAGTCCACATGAACGGGTTAAGGTTCCCATCCCGGTTATCACCAATGACTACAACCAGTATAAGGTAGGAGTGGATCTAGCAGATCAAGATCAGAGTTACTATTTTACGCAATTAAAATGCCTACGAAACTGGCCTCCCGTTTTCTACTGGCTTTTAGATACAACAGTTATTAACTCCTACCTATTACTCTCTTGTCTTCCTTCTTCTTCCCATATCTACCAGCTTGGTTCATCATGTACTTTTTGTCAAGTGCTTGCCAAGTCCATTATTAAAAAATACGGTCAAAGGCAGCTTCAGCCAAGGAAGTCCTACTATGCTCGGAAGACTTCCTCCCCTCGATATAGCAAGCTTCAACACCACACCTCTCTTCCACTACCAGTTGGCAATAAAAGCGACCATAGACTTTCATTTATAAAAGGTCCAGGTTCCCTCATTGCATGTACTGTGTGTCGATTTACTTTGAGAGGAATGAAGCAGAGAGGAGTTTGGGCACTACGAATACCGTCTGGGTATATGGGGCCGGGCTGTGAGATTTCCCTTTGTGAGAGCTGTTTTACGATTAGACATAAACAGATATTCAGTCAACAGGGTTAAAGCTGTATTTGTTTTCTCTATCTTTTGTGTTTTTATTACTTTAATATCATGTATGATAGTGGTATCTACCTGGGTTTCTGGCTCACGGAGCTGTTTGTTGACTGAGTTGCTCTTTTGCTTGTGATCACCGTTATTTGATATCACTTGGTGCATTTATAAGTGCCAAGTACACCTTTTCGGACTAGTGCAGCATGGTCCGAATTTTACTGTTTCACACCACCCAAGGGATACTGAATGCCAAGTATAAGGTACCTTCTATTCAGTATAGCGAGGGGTTCAGTACAGCGATGGTGAGGGAGTAGGGGGGTAGTATAACTCAGAAGGAAAGGAGAGAAGTTTAAGGGAATTAGAGCGGGGTAATTGTAGATACTATAGGGGAAAATCTTTGAGAAAAGAAAGAACCACTGTGAAAAATATATTGAACAGAACAGTTTCTCAATGGCACCCAAGGTTCGAGCAGGATTGACACCAGTTCAGAAATACAAGCTTTATGTCTTGCGATCAAAGCATCCAATCTCAAATTATCTGACTTTGTAGAACTTCCTGAGTGTCCACAGAGGCCTGATGGCTGAACTCTCCCTCTCTTGAGTCTTAGCGAACATATTAAAGGGTGGAAGGAGAAAGTATTAGAAAGTCAGCCATTAGGTATATACTCATAATAGTTTGAGATAACAGACTCAGAGATATTTAACTAGTG